GAGATCGAGTGGTTTCTAGCCAAAACAATCTGAACGAGAATCGAAGATCTCGTCGATAGTAGTCCAACGGTAAAAAGACAGACGAAAACGGACGTCAGATGAAGGAGTTGTGAATTCCTAACAGAGTTTTCTTGTCCCGGCCTACTAAAAATAATATAATAAAAGTTAAATTCAAAATTAGCCGACGGAGTCTAAACGAGAGTTGTAGAGCATAATCTCACCTACGCGTGCATATAAAGAACGTCGAAAACGGAGCTCGTATGCGAAAGATATTAATTTCTGAAGTTCGGGGCACAAACCCCGACACTGTGTCAGAATTCACGACGTGAACACAGTGTTCACGACGTGAAATCAGAAGTGACGCCTTCCAGAGCAAGTGGACTGATGACGAACGCAATGACCTATGCCTGACTGAACTCACGACGTGAATTTTGAGATTCACGACGTGAATCCAGAAAAATGGCCCTATAAATAGAAATCGAAGGGCAGTCGGCCATGGTTGCTAATTCCTTCACTCTCTCACTCCCGATACCCTCTCTAGCTGTCTTGAAGTACCCCCGAAGCCCCGGTATCATCCCGACACCCGAAACGAGTCCTGAAGCGCCGAAGATCCCGAGAAGAAAAGAGTTTCGAGCCGAAGCTCTGCCCACGAGAAGCCCGGTGTGTGAAGATATCCCGGTTTCACCGAAGAATACTACTTTAAGAGCCGTACTGCTGTCCGATAATCTTCTTATCAAGTGAGTGTGTAGTTGCTTTCTTCTAACACATAGATATGAATTATTCTCTATAAAATATGTGCTATGTGTTTGTATATTATCTGTTATCTGGAATGAGTATTGATTGGATATATTATACAGGTTTTAAAGTTGTATAAGTATATATATATATATATATATATAATATATATATATATATATATATATATGTTATCTACAAAATTGTTGGGTATAACATGGGTAGATAGTTGATGTGTGATGAAATAAAATGATATGAGGCCTCGATGTTGTTGTTGATCTAGTCATTTAGCGGAGTATGGATGACGACCACGAACTCTTTCTAGACTGTCCAGTGGAACGCTGGCAGGTTCATAACCTGTAGGTGTTGTGAACGATGTGTTCACCGGTGTACTCTATCCCCCTCATGGTTGCCTTTAGGACATCTATTTTTGAGGAAACCCCTTTGCAGTAATGTCCATCCCGATGAAAAATCCTAGACTAGGTCCCTTGTGATAGTTGTTGTTTTAGGGACGTAAAGTGAGGATAACGGGAATGGGTAATCGGGTTATTGTTGGTTGGTGAAATTAAATATAATTATTTATTGTGGGTTGAAAACCCTATATGCTCACCAGGCTCCCAAGCCTGACCCACTCAGTTTTATTTGTATTACAGATAGTGGCGCGAGAGCATAAGATGGATGAATCATCAAGTTATTTTGTTTATAGACATGTAGTTGTAAATAACCGTTGTAAGGCCTATAATGTGCCGTTTATGCTTTTGGTCTGTATCGGAACATGACATCCCGAGTTTTGTTATATATGAAAATACATTTCTTTAAGAAATGTTTTGATAAATTTTATTTTATCATATTTTGTTTTGGGAACAAATTCCGCAACTCTTTTAATCAAAGGATTACTCTGAAATTATTTTAAAAAGCATAAATTAAATCGGTCTTTTCTGGCCGTGAATTTGGGGATGTCACATTATGTTTATGGTTCCAGGTAATTTCATTTTAAAAAAGGAAGGGCCCGGATTGATCGCACTTCATCCCCTGGAGTTTTATTACACATTTAATGTTTACAAATTACTCCGATGTTTTGATAATAATTTGACTATGATCGTATTTTGGAACAATGAATGAATGGCTTTAACTTATTTAAAATGAAATTTTTACTCTGTATTTTTTGGTACGCTACAGCTACGGATATAAATCATGAAGTAACAACGATGATGAGGAAGTTTAACATTGGAAACCAATACACATATTGCATTTAAAGTTGATCATAAATAACATATATTTCGAATAGCACGCCATTTAAATTTATTATTTTTGAAAATTACTACACCTTTTCACTTGCAGTCATCTGAAACCCTATTTTTTCTTTCAACATCGAACTCAATCTCCTGCCTCTCTACCATTTTCTTCCAGATTAAAATACCCACATCAAGAGGAATACACCCTAATTGGAACTAATTATATCTTGAAATTTCCAATTCAAATCCCAATTGTCAAAATTCAAAAATGCTCACTGGTTATCGACAAGATGGAAATATATCGAAGATGAAGCAGCCAGTGGGAGTTTCCGTTCAAGATGGAGGAGTGGTGTTGGCCAGAGGCGACATTGGCATAGGTCAAAGGTGGGAGGAGCGGCACATAAGTGGGAGGGGGTGGCGGAACTAGTATGGTACCCTTATTTTCTTCCCATTAATAAAAATATTGCATCTTGTTTTTTGTATACATGCTGCAAGATTAGAGTTTTTTTGTATATATGGTGCAAAATACAACTAAAAGGTGAAACTACTACTCTATTAGGAGGTTTAATAAAAACTCTAAAATGCTAAATCCTAGTCCAAGTAATATTGTAATAGCCCACTAATTGTAAGTCTTTTACCCTAGTTTGTTATATCTAATGAAATCATAATTTAATATATATATATATATATATATATATATATATATATATATATATATATATATATATATAAAATCTTTTATAGGAAACTTTTTTTATGCTACCCCTTACAAAAGTTTTTGGTTCCAATCCGGTGGGAACTGGAGAAGGGATGAGTGATGTCAGAAGTTAGGGAAAGGAGAAGGAAAAAGGGCATGATCAGCTACTTGCAGTCATGGCCGGTCCGTTAATTTTCGAGGCCCTATCCGAAAACTAAAATATGGGCTCCTTAATACAATCATGGATTTCATTTTAGAGAATGTAGGAAAGGGCTTATTGTAGCGAATTGTTCGCCCAATGTTGTCATACTTGGTAGAGAGTCCGTTGAGGGCATGAACAACCATATTCTTTTCATATACAGGTTCTCTGAGTCCTTCAAGAAGATCTACAATTGTTTTGACTTTATCACACTATTCATGAATAGTAATATCCCCCATTGAAATATTATGGAGTTGGATTTCGAGTTGCATTGCCATTAATTCCTTGTTGCCATAGAAGAAAGAATGAAGTTTAAGTCAGACCTTGCATGTAGTAGCTTTGGAGGAGTATGTTGATGTGACGAGACTTTGAAAAATCGATCCAAACAACCAAAGTTTGACCATGGAATTGAGTTTCTCCCATTCAGTATTCGTTGGAGGCGTATTTGGGGAGCCAAAAGTTTCGTCAATGTGATCCAATACATCGTATGCTATGCATTGGGCTTTGAAGAGATCGCTCCAAGGTTTGTAATTGTGAGTGGTGAAGTCAAGAATCAAGAGAACGCAGGTTTTGATATTTGTGATACCGTAAGCTAGGGATGAGCGTGAGATAGAACCGGTACCGACCCCTACCGTTCCCGATTTCCCGAAAACCGAATTTGGCCGAAAGTCAATACCGAGTACCGAACCAAATTAACATCACCAGTATCGGTACCGGGAATGGTACTGGTACCGGCGGTACCAAATCCCAATTTTCATGTATTTGGAGTACCAAGTACCGTCACATATTTTTAAATTTGGTACGGTTTAGTACCGATTCCGGTACGAGATCGTGATTTAGGACAAACTGCTCATCCCTACCATAAGCCTTGTGAATGGGTATGGATGAACTGGAGTTATCGCCTGACATTATAGATTAGGGAAATGAGGATTGATAGAAGAAGAAGAAGAAGAAGAAGAGATGGGGGGAGAGAGAGAGAAGAGAGAGAGAGAGAGAGAGAGAGAGAGAGAGAGAGAGATAGAAGGAGATGAGTCTCGACTGATGAAAATGTCGACACATGTAAGGATCGGCTAGGGTTTTGTCAAGCCTGATACAATGTTAAGTTGTATTTTTCCATAATAAGGATTGTATAACGCAAAGGTATAAATACATGGATGCCTTGGGCCGATACATACAAGGAGTAATGGGCTCACACTATACAATACATAAATACAAATATACATGCAAACACATGGTCCGCTAACACAAACCATCAAAAGTTGCTTTGTATTCACTTGAGCTCTTATAATACAAGTTTTCTTTGGTTTGTAGCAACTTTGAGGCATTAGTCTCTTGTTTACCAGTTTGTTAGTACATCTCAAGGAAGCGTAGTAAACCTGACTTAGTCGAAGAAACACTAAGTGGCACACGAAATCGTCTCATAACAATAGACCCTAGTGCTTAGCAATGAACTTTAGGTTCGAGGATTGAATTTTGCATATATAAAAAAGTAAAGTTTGTATATGCCGAATGTTATTTCGGAAACAAAAACAACCAAAATGAAAAGAAAAAAAAATGAAGAACTAAATATTTGGTAATAACGGAAAAACAAAGGTAAATCCGAAAAACTGCAAAATCAAATAATATTACAATTATATTTTCAAAAACGAGATCAAAGTTTAATGGTTTATATGAAAATTTAGGATTTTATAAATGTCATACCATCACCAATGGCAAATATAACCTCTTAATAAGATATAGCAAGTCAATTATTTTTCTTTGAAAAGACAATAGTTTCAATAAAGATAAAATAACATAACGATTTTCTGGTAAATGACAAAAAAAATAGCAACTTTTTGTAATTTTCCCTAAAAACAATTATCAAACATAGTGAAGATCAATAATTATGCAATCGACATCTTTTCCCCTCAAACAAAAATACTATTTTTCACTTTACACTACATTTACTATATGACTAAAAATGGGGCTGCTCTATTTCCCTATCAAACCTACAAAATAAAAAATAATATCGACAAATTGTACTAAAAAAGAATGTATTGGGTGCATCTATTAAACATGTGTGTCAACTGATTTAAACATCTTGCATAAGACGATCTATATATGTCTTAGCTCATTCATGATATATGTCTCATAATTAACCCGAATAATCAGTTGGCAAAGGTTTGTTATATACGGTTTCAATGGGGGCTTGTAAGAAAATGACCAAAGTGGTTTCCTTATAATCTTCAACATCTTGAGCTAACTTTGAAAGCGCGGGAGGGATGGTCATATCAATCTCCGATATGCTCTCGACACAGTCTCTCAATGTAATTTCTCCTGTACGCAAGTAATATTCAATCGCGTCTTTATTATCCTCATCAACTGCTTCTATCAGATCGGTTAAGTAACTGGCAACATCAGTTACCTTCTGTTGACACGTCTTCAAGATCTTTGCTCTCGACGGGGAATTGGTGTTGCGGATCACGGAGGTGACCATAGGCAGGAGGTGTATGGAATTTCTTTTGTTGAGAACAAGAGTTGCTCGAAACGCGTTTTTCAATGCTTGGTGATAATTTGTTGCATTGTGCACTAATCTATTGCATAGAGGCTTCAATCTTGCAAATTCACAAAATTTACTATTTGGAGTTGTTGCATGGCTCATCACCACCATCATGGCAATCGTTGTTGCCATAATGTAAATGTATTTACCCATTTTGGTCAAAATTTAGAGAATCAACGTCTAATCTAATGAAAAGGATGAATCAAGATGAAGAAATTAAACTAACATATTTTTCTTCTTCCTTGTTTCAATCAATCCCGAAATAGTTTCCCTTACATTCCATATAAATAAATTATGTAACAGTTAACATCCGTTAATTTCATCCCATAATTTCTCTCATTACCACTAATTCCATGGCTTAATTCATGGTCCTCGTTAATTGTACATGTTATTCAAAAGATGATTCATGTTAACAGGGGACAATTTTCAGCCATAAATTTCAATCCTCGGAAATTTAGAGATTTATTAAAACAATTTGTTATTTATAATTTTTTTTAATTAATTTATTATTATTTTATAATTTATTACTAAACCAGGGATTTGTTTTGTGGTTATGATGATTTTATCTTATACTTTTCTTATGCTTTATGAATCGCTATGTAAGGCATTAAAATCTCAAGTAAAGGTTTTAGAAGATGGTAAGTTTGAAGATTTATAACGAGACTACGGATTTTTTTCAAAGATGTCTGTTCGAATTTTGTTTTATTTCCTCAAATTTGGTCAAATCTCATTTGTTTTGCTTACATTTCTTTATTTACATATTACTTATCTTTGATCTTTGATATCTAGGTTTTGTTTTATTTACAACCTTCTGTGATACCAAAGCATTTTTTGATCTCTAATAAAGTCATTCGTTTTTTTTTCAAAAGTTGGTTTCTATAGTTTATTATTATTATTTGAAGTTGTTATTACGGTATTAAAGAAATACTTCATTATTATCTGTAATAAAAATAAAAAATGGTAATTTGATATAAAAAAATAGATATATTATATTGAAGAGATTGAACTTAGAAAAAAAAATTATAATGTTATTTTTACTTAGTAACACCCGTGTTGTTCAGTTTTGATTAACTAAAGGCTTTAGGGGTTTTGAGAATAAGATTTTAGAGAAAATCTACAGTCGCAAGGAGTCAGGGGTGCCACGGCCATATGTTTTAATGGTGGCACAATTTTATGTCTCTCCGCGGCGCGGTGACCGCCTCAACCCAAAACCCTAGGTCTCGGGCCTTGGGTCCTATTTAAGTACATTGCTATTTTTGTATGTAGTCACTACCATCGTTACTATTAAATACAAATAAGAAAATATAGAGATGCCTTATCATTTTGTTTTGCAAATAATCCAACTTCTTCTCTTAATAACAATGACACCATCAACCAAAAACCACCAAAATATTTAAGAATTATTTTTATGAGATTATGACATCGTTTTTTTTTATCGTTTTTCACCTGAAGTCAAAGAAACTGAGTTTAAACCTCAAATTTATATGAAAACTTTAAGCTTTAATCATAATTTGATCAACTAGATCAATTTCACGTAAAAGGATTAACCAAAGATAAAGATTTTTGGGTCGATATGCATCTGATAAAAAAGGAACGTAATGATATGCATCGATATATGCATCTGGAAAATGAAGAACATAAAGACAGTAATATGACATGAGTCTTTTGAGAAATGTTTGTTGTCATATATTTTTATTAGTTATAGAGCATACATCCAATATAGACAGCAAAGTCAACATAAAATCCTTCGTCATAAGTTCAAGTATTAGGAGAAAAAGTTAATAAAGTAAGTTTTTCTTATGATTTACTCAAAAATGTAGAAAATGAAAATAACATGTTGAATAAGGGAAATAAAATAAATGTTACAGGTCTATTCAAGAAAACATTCATAAGGATTTGCAGATTGCTTGCTTCTGCTATAACAGATAGACGACCCAATTCTCTATGGCCTTTATGTTCTTCTATTACTTTCAACTGATAAATTATTATTCACATGTACAACTTTTTAATTTCTTCTAATTGTAAGCAGTGAATGTGCACATTCCCATGAGCTCAAAAGAATTGATATGGGTAGGTGATTTTTGATTTTCTACTGCCTGCAGCAAGAAAATTTAAGAACTTCATAAAATATAAAAAATTAATATTTTTTTTCAATAAAAAATGGCATTTGATTTCTTACAGTCTCTTGTATCGATAAAACTTCATCTTCATTAGGTTTTACAGGAGTATAATCTTGTTTAAACCATTCATCTACTTTAATATCTGACGTTGTTATCTTTTAGGGTTTAGATCAAGAATTCTTTTTATAAGACTCTTTGCTCTTTGAGTCATCCATTTATGCATAAAATTCAAGAGAATCTACTTAAAAGTGCAATTGGTTTAGAAACAAAATAAATCAAGGCAATCTTTACAAATCAAAACGCTTCTATTTGGGTTCTTCTTAGTTAAAAAATAACTTAATTAAGCATATGCTTAAACCCCAAGGAGAAAAAAGAAAACAATATATTTTAATAAAAATAAATATGCAACGGACTACGCACAATATAAATTTTGCTTCATTCCAACAGCTTTAGTTGCATAAAAATACACCAAAGTTCAAACATTGTGCTAAAACATCATAAACAACCAAAGTAGGATGCTATAAATATCAACAAGAAAAGAGAGAACGTTGTCACACCCTCGGCCGACGGCGGAAACGTCGGGCTGTGCAACATCTTGTTGATCATAGTCATTGAACAGTACAAAGGTATAACATAAACAGTGGTAGTATTATTTCTGAAAAACGATTATAATAATATTCAAAGTTTCCATAGTCTAAGCTTCAAACATCATCAGGCTACAAACTACAATCATGTTCTATGGGATATATCAACTTCACATCTTGACTTTCGGGTGTGCAACTTCCATCTATTGGTTTTATAAGAATACATGGGATTTTAAAAACGTCAACATAATGTTGGTGAATTCACATGTTTTAGTGGTTTATATCGAAAGTATCAAGTATTTGTTTTATAAGTATTTTTACTTATATTACTTATCAACTTTTTAACCGAAGATGGTGTTATATATATATATATATATATATATATATATATATATATATATATATATATATATATATATATATATATACATACTAGTCATTTACCCGCGCTAAGCGATGGGTATGAATAATTTCTTTTAGAAATTAGTTTTTAGAGACGATTAGGTTTTAGGAAAAAACAATTGTTTGGCTTTTAATTTTCCGTTTTTTCTAACCAAATTTATCAATTATTATAACAAAATTTAGGACAAACATAATTTATATTAAAAACTACTTATGTTTTCATCATGTATGTCTAATAATACAAAATAAGTTAATAATTTGTATTTAAAATGTTAACATAACCCATTAACATTTATTCTTAGTATCCATCATAACAAGCTTTGTTAATGCTAAACGTGTGTATGGGATGTTCTTTATTAAAACCAACATGTGTATGGGATGTTCTTTATTGAAACTAAAACCAAACCAAAATATTTGGTTTTGGATGTGAAAAACTTGATGGTTCTAGTTTTTTTTGTCTCCATTTTTTAGTATTTCATTATCAAGGTATTAGTGTTCAATTTTTCTGTTACTATATTATACTATTCAATTTTTTTCATCTTAATTTTTGCTTTTTCATTACATATGTACCTAAAACTAACAAAAAAACATAATTTACTAAAATAAATTTTTTAATTAGATTTAATCATAAGGGATTAGTAAAAAAATATATTGTTTAAAATTTAAATTTATAAAAATAAACAATCACAACTGATGCCCAAAAGATATAAAGAATACACACATCTCATCTCCAATAGAGTCTAAATATCTCGTAGTGAACAATCAAAAAACTTACTGAAATTCTTTAGCGACAGGATGAAATGAATCATAAATAAACAATTTTGCTCCCTTTCAAAGACATTGTGAGTTTGCTTGAGCTAATGCTACCAACAACCGTAAACGGTGCTCATCAATGAGATCTCAACTAATCTATATGCTTCAACCTCCTATAAAAATGAGTCAATAAGTTAAAATGATTATTTTGTTTTGATAATAATGTTATATGAAATATTGTTTTTACAGTTAGTAAAGATTCATGTTTATTTAAAGTAGCATGACACAAAGATGGAATTATATAAATGAAAACAATAACAAAAGTACATGTTAAAACAAAACCGAAACGGGAACCACGACTCGGTCCGTTTCCCGGTTATTTAGTTCTCAGTTCTGCCCGGTAAGGTTCTGCACCACCAATGCAAATTCTTACTATGGAAAAAAACGGATTTCACACACACACACACACAAAAATTAATTTATAGGATATGATGTCATTCACAGGTAAAAGTTGAGTTTATATGCTTAAAACAGTGAATCAGACAATTTTATGTACATGTTTTAAAAAATGCTCCACCTATAGATATTCAGTTTTAAAACAAACATATTTTATACCATTTTCAAAAGAACTAAAACATAATCCAAATATAATGCTAAAAATCTGTTTTGCAAATAAAAAATATGTTGCCCATAATTGTTGAACATACTTAATACAATTTTAAAAAGAATAAAACACCTTAAACAGAACCGGTCCATGATCAAAATACAAACAGATGAATTGAACATGGTTATATAAAGATCAATCATTTTGGTTATTTCATTTGAGCAAAAAGCCAAATTCAAACAAAATACAAGGAGATGATATTTTATTGAATAATAATTCGAAATCATAAGAAAAACTCAACGATTAATTATAAAGAAGTACCTTTAGTTATCAAAGAAGCAGTCAATTGCATTAATTTCCATAAAAAAAGAGCAACATTTGTTGGTCAAGAACCTGCAGAATAATATAGTAACGTAAAAAGAGGCCCTTTATGAGGTATAGTGGTGGTGGTCGAAGGTGGATCACAAGAAACTACCCTAAACTAAAAATTCATATATGAATTGGAAAATACCTATATGTTAGGTTACCAAAAAGGAAGGCGGAATGTTGAAGATCATAAGTGTTAGGCTAAATCACAGCTTTTGCTCCTGCGCACCATCACAGTCTCCTGCAAGTTGAGGTTAAAAATCTTTAAATACATGGAAATGAAATTAAAAAAAAAATCAGCCA